GCCCACCTCCACGCTGAGTGCTTGGTCGAGAGCTTGATAACCTACGCTCCCTCAGACATCAGGCCGGTTACACCTAAAGTAACCAATGGCGCACCTGTAATGGTTTTCATGCACACTGACGTGTGTCGTTTATCGTAAACAGGTGTGTGCAAGATATCAGTTCGTAAGATACATGCTGCATATTTTTCATAGCACCATAATAATCTGGCAGTAAAAGGGTCATTTTGGAGTTAAATGTGGTTGTAGGGCGAAGAGCGGCTGGGAAGAAGGAACACTCCGAGGAAACCTTAGTTAGCTACCTTCCGCCTTGAGAAGACGCTAACGCTTGCTATTGGTAGAAGGAGAAAGGCCTGAGACTAAGAGCGAGAAAGAGAGAGAGATGGGTACGATTTGTTTTGGAAGTATCATTTAGAATTCTTCAGCAAAAGCGGCTCCAGTCATTCTGGTCAGGGTATACATTTGCGAATGATGCAAGAGCCAATGTATTTGCATAAAACTGAGAAAGAAGGTAAGGGTATGGTATGTAACCCCCTGGGAAAACTGTAGTTAGATACTACTCTAACGCCAACCGTGACCATGCCCGTGATGAGAAACCCTAACTGTTAACCCATAAGCATTTAAAGAAAACTCGAGCGTAAATGCAACCTTAACCGTAGGCCTTGAATCGTTAACTCAAACCCCAGAACCCTAGCCCAAATTCCTATCCCCAAGTTTAAACCCTAACCCTAGCCTCGAAGGCAAATCCAGACTATAGGCTGAGCCTGAAAACCTCAGCCCCATGAAAAACCCAACTCCTAACGGTAGCCTTGAGCCTGGTGCGGACACCTTTAACGTCAGTAGCGCTAGCAAAGATCAAAATCCGCATATTCCAGCGTCCCCTTAACAATCTCTTGTCAAGAAAACCGTTGTGAACCAGGAAACAGCATTACCAACATAGACAAGGGAGACTTGAACGACAATTCCTGGTTTATTAGCCTTCATCAGCCATTCATACCCAATCCCGAGATGTGCAACCTCTGGGGCTCGATTACGCGACCTCTTGGTTAGAAGTCCAACGCCCCTAACCACTGAGCCACGGGTTCGTTGTCCTGCTGGTTGTGCTATTGTAAGTACAATGGTAAAGGGATGTTCACCGAGTGTTTTACTGGTTTCACTTGTCCTGTTACTTATCGGTCCTCCCGCCACCGCTAGGTTCAAAATTAATTTAAAAACCGAGAATACTTCCAATTTAAACACTTTGTTACAAATGAAATTTGTGCATGATGACTTTGTCCGTTGATACTGACAAATAACAGAGGACTAGTTATAGTATCCATTTCCTTTATGCCGAAGTTCAGGCAAACCCTTCTGGTAATACACGCTTTCCTGCTGCTGATTAAATCGCCAACGATGGTCGCCTTCAGTTCACCGAATCCACTGTTTCCACTCATCGTGTGACAGTGTCGTGACCAGGCGGTGTGAGTGTGTATGCCTGTACTCAGAGCTCTACTACCGTCGGACCAAATTCTAGTGTTGGAGGGAGGGGGACAGAAGGCACCAGAATGGGGGTTTAATGTATACAGAACCCAGAGTAGTCCCCCCTGGCGGCAGTGGCCACTGGCGAAGCCAGGGTTGGTGTTGAATGCGTCCAGTCAGGCCTGAGAGGCTCTGGGACAGTAGTGGCGCCCAATTTTGTAGGCTGGTTGGCCACTCCCTCGCCCGGTTGAACCTTGGGTTCACGCTACACCTGCCTAGCTAGGATAAGAAGTCTGATTTTTAAAAAACCATCCAGGGGGGTCACATACCTCACCCTTGCTACTAAGAATCTACTACGGGGACAATTGAGGTTGTAGTTTCTGCAATCTGCTTTCTTTGCACGCAAAGTATCTTGCCAAAAATCGCAATAAAGAATGCTGATATGTCAGTGTACGGCAGGAGACATGTCGGAATCCACAGCGCATGGGGCGCGAGGATTTCGCAACAATTAGTTCAGAATGAAGGGAATGGACAACATCACCCAGAATTCAGTCAGCCAATTGTTTGACCATTGTGAGATGTCACTATATTGTAGTATTGACTAAAAAGACCTATAAACATCGGTAGCAGAAGAGAACATTCGGAGGAGTCGTTTTAAAATAAACATATGTTTTATAAGTGAAGCTGGAAAGATAACTGGTGAAGAGTAAAGAATGCGAGCGAAAATGTAGGTATCTACAATCCCCCAGGTTAGAGATGAAGGTATGTGATAGAAACGTAGATGCCGAATGAAAAAAATTCAAAAATTCTAGTGAAAAAGATTTCACTATGAAGGAAGAATGAGAGATGTAAGGACAATGCATCACCGAGGTACCAGAAAGGGGGTCCCTCGTTTTGGAGGAATGTCCAAGAACACAGGACTATGAGGGACTCGCAGTCGAAACACACATTGAACTGATTTCTGGCTGTTAAGTTGAAGTCCATTTTCCGACGACCATACAGAGACGCGATCCAAGCCATCCTGCGGAAACTCGAGATGCGTTTGATTTTTAGGAGGGTGACCACCAACCATATCTTCAGCATACTTAACATACACGCAGTCATTTGGCGATCACAGGTCATCAGTGTGAAGAGAGAAGAGATGAGGGGTTAGGATGGAACCTTTGAGGTTTCCACAGTTTTTATAAAGGGCAGTAGGTTTCTACTTGCCAGACTACACGAAGTGAGCGCGAATGTGATGCGGGACAGTGTTGAAGGCAGAAGAATAAACAAGAAATGCACATGCGTTAGCACGTAAGCCCCTATCTAGATCTCCTAGAGCAGAGTGGACTGCAAGAGTAATAGCATCCAGGGTAAAACGCCTGGACTTATATGCAAATCGTAAAAGCACGGAGGACTTGGATAAGTATGACATAATGACATTTACGACAACTCGTTCATAGAGCTTCACAAATGCGGAATAGAAAGCGATTGCAGCGTGATAATGCCCGCCCACTGGTTCGGGATCCATGGAGGTGCCGCTTGGTGGCTGTTTTGAATCTCCCCTTCAATTTTGGCCATCATCGCGTAGACTAATTACTTCTACAGTAGACATTCTCCGCCCTGCAACTCGCACTCCCGGCCCTCCAGCTCGCACTATCCCCCAGTCTCTAAGCCTGCTTGCGTAGGAGGGGGGGGGGGGGGGGGGGGGGGGGGGGGGGTTGGCGCTGTTAGGCCGGCAGTGCGAGGTTAGCCATTTAGTGGTGCTGGGCTTGCAGTAGGCTTCTGACACTGCGCTCGTTGCCCTGGTCTGTAATTGCGGTTTCATCGAGAGGAACATTGCTCCGTTTCCTCCACACGGCGCAATGCAGGGAGCCTGGCCCTTTTTTGACGCCTCGGCGCATTCATGCACCAGCTAATACTTCAGCAACATGTATATGCCTATGCAGAATCTGCATCAGAACTAACCGAATTCGAAGGACCTTATGGCTCGTAGTATGGGGTCCCTGGGTGTCATCCTCCAACCATTCTTTGCCCCATGTGGTATTAGATCAACATCAGCGCACTATAAACATGCCGATGAGGTAAACACTCCTTAAAATCCTCTTAGCGTTTGAGACGAACCACTCAGTTGCACTAAATACATCCCTCCTGTTATGCGGCAACTGGGCAAGCCAATGGATGTTTGCTTTTGGTACACCAATGCTTCAGCCCGTACACCTGGATAAAGAACTCCGGTTCCCTCGCTGTGGGTCGAAAATCTTGTCGGACATGGGGCTTACTCGGAAGCAGGCCGTATTCAAGCATTTTTACTATTCATGCTCAACTTAAATTATATTAAATTTAAATTATGACTTGGTCTGCATCAAACTTGGAAGTGTCTTAGTGTTGTTAGACAAGCTGATGGTCGAGCAATCATCACGCCAACATCCAACGCACGTGATGAAATTGCGGCAATTATCGACTCGAATGTCGGCCATCAAGCAATGATCACCCCAAGTGTGACAATCCCGGATGAAGGGGCAAGCCGTGAACGTTCATAGGCATGCGGTAGCATGGCTGTCGCATCCTATAAATACCGCAGCCCCTTGTGCAACAACCACCCGTTTCTGCTCTTTTGTCTCTGATGATGGATTCGAGTAGGAATCCGAAACGTCAGGCTAATAAAGCTCTTGTCCCGGCGATCGTGTCTCCTTCTTCAAGCTGATGTAAATTTGTACCAGGCAGTCAGCCAACGATGATGATCATGATAGCTGCGG